AAAAAAAAAAAAAAAAAAAAAAAAAAAAAAGTAAGTTTCAAAATTTAAAATTCCATGGAGAGTTGTTAGTAAAAGCCAAAAAGGCCGGGCGGTGGTGGTGCACGCCTTTAATTCCAGCACTTGGGAGGCAGAGGCAGGTGGATCTCTGTGAGTTTGAGGCCAGCTTGGTCTACAAGAGCTAGTTCCAGGACAGGCTCCAAAGCTACAGTGAAACCCTGTCTGGAAAAACCAAAAAAGGCCAAAAGGGCTGCCAATAAATGCCACATCCTAGCTAGATAAGGCAATTTAAAAGACAGTCCCAGCCGGGCGATGGTGGCGCACACCTTTAATCCCAGCACTCGGGAGGCAGAAGCAGGCGGATCTCTGTGAGTTCGAGACCTGCCTGGTCTATAAGAGCTAGTTCCAGGACAGGCTCCAAAGCCACAGAGAGAGAAACCCTGTCTCGAAAAACAAAACAAAACAAAACAAAACAACAACAACAAATAAAAGAGAGTCCCATAAACCCAAAAACCTATGCTACATACATACCTGCTCCTGTGTGGGTAAAATAGCCCCACATGGAAGGTACTAATGCTATTCATCTAACTGGTATCTTCCCACATGTACAGCAGCTTATTTTTCCTCCCTGTCACCTGTAATGCAAACCTAAAGCAAACTAAAGGCTTTGCATTCCTGGGCAATGAAATCCCCACATTTATTCTTAAGCTTTAAACAAACTTAACCCAAGCTGTAGCTGATCCAAATGATAAAGCACACTAACACCAACCATTAGATACTGCACTACTTTAAGAGAAACATGCTACAAACAAAGCTTTTTATAAGAACAGAAGCAGACTTGTCAACTAGAATATTAAGCCTTTAATTAAATAGTTTACTGCCTGGATAATACAGGAGATTTGTTTTTTAACAGATCCTTCAGCCTTAACAAGTTATCAAGCATAGAATACCTCAAGTAATTAGTGTACCTTTGTTTCTTTTATGACTGTGGGTTTTATCCTAAGAAGGTATAAATATCCTTATGTGGGTTTATCCTTTGATATCTTATGAGCTAAATAAAAGGACCTAAAGCAGAGTTTAATTAATTAAAATATATCAGCTGTTTAGATTTTTAAAACAAATACTAGTCGTTTATCCTTATTCTCATCTTTAATGTGCTCTATAGCTACTTTCAAAATTACCTGAGAATTAGCCACCAATGAGGATTACTCTATCACTGTTCCCTTTGGATATTCAAGTCTGTACCTTTCCCCTAAACCATGTAGATTTCATCATGCATTAGAATCATACCTTAAAGCAGAGAGGGACCATAAAAAAGATGGAAGACTTCCAACCTCTTCCGACCATTGAAAATTTTAACTTTAGATTCTCAAAAACAAAACAAAACAAAACAAAACCCCCAAAACAAAAAAACAAACAAAAACAAAAACAAAAACCCTGAAGAACCTAACCTAACAGTCAGTAAAGAAAGAAGACTAAAGGGGAAACCTTCAGCAGTTTCATGGGACTCTGACATAAGGCATCCTGGTCAAGTCTGTCCTTAACACATACTAGTGCCTTCTTCCAACTGACTACCAAGTGGCCTAAGAGGAAAGGAAGGCCACTTGGAGATCCTATTCTAGGGGCTGAGCCACAAACCTGAGGACAGGTATTCAGATCCCCAGTACCCACATATGAGCAGGTGAGAGTGATAGCAGCTTGCAATCTCAATGTAAAGAAGAGAGGCAGAAGATCCCCAGAGCAAGCTGGCTAGCTAGAGGAGCTTAACTGGCAAGCTCTGGGTTCAAGTGAGAAACCTTGACTCAATATATAAGGTGGGGAGGCAGGGAGGAAGACAATAGATGTTAACTCCCCACCCCCACACATGTACTCCATGAATACACACAAAATAAACCCCATTTCATGAAAAGACATGGGATAAACACAACATACAGCTGCTAATTTGAAGTGTGAACCTAATTTAAAGGTGAAATACCATAGAGAAACTTTGGCTCAGGAAATCTCTGTGAGATAAAGCAGAAGCTGAACTTTCTGTAAGTATGTGCACTAAAACTTCACAAGACTTTGGTAAGAGAGGCTAATTCTGTCTTTATCTAATAGTCTGAATTATCAAAAACAAAAACAAAACACCAAAGGAAATGGCATTATAAACTTCAAAATACACAAATATTCACTCTGCATTACACAAGCGGAACCCAGCATGAGCAGCAACAGCTGAGCTGTGCAGAGGCAATGCATCTGTTGAATTCCCATTTCCTTTTACTTCAATAGCACCATTAAAAGAAAAGAAACTTTCTGCACCTTAACTAACAAAAAGTACTGTACTGACCCTCTTCCTTACAAAAGGCTCTGTATCAGAGGGCCATTACTTTTTCCTTAAGGAACTGAGAGGTAGGGTGTCTTACTTATTTTGGAATATAAACGCTAGCAAGTATTTTTGCCTCAACGGAAGAGTCCAAGATTATTTTCTTACAGGAACTCACATTACTGGCCTCCAAAAACTTTTTGGTTGGCATCTGTGGTAAAAATATAAACCTTTAAAATATGGTCTCAGACTAGCATAAAGCTTGAAGTCTGGACCTTCCCATGTTAATGTCGTCAGCAGAAACTTTTTCTTTGTAACTTGATTCCCCTTGCAAATGGCCCTCATATATTTTCTGAAGAATTTGACTTCCACAGTTTTAATAGTTCTCTTTAACCCTTGCTAACCCTGGCTCTCATATCTTTCCTTTAATCTGTGGCTCCACACTGACATGGCTGTCTACATGAACAACAGGTGTATAAACAGTTCTTTGTCTGTACCCAGAGCCTGTGGGCCAGACAGATAGGACTATTTTAATTGTCCATCTCGTTAGCATACAGCTGACTGGCTGCTACTATTGGGGGAGTAACAGAGAAGGAAAATCCCTAGGCCTGCTATGCTCTAAATTGCAATTCTTATAAGAACCCCACTTTAGAATAAAAGGTGCACAACTCACTAAAAGACTTAGTTTTACACACTGAACCTTCACAATCTGTGTACTTTTATAATTACCAATAAGCAACTTCTTTTCATTTAATCTGTACTCACAACAGAAAAAAGTTAAACCTAATTAGTTGAGGAATTAAAGTACAGACTTTAAATTTCTTAGAATGAAGTCTTCTGATTCCATTCTAATAACTTGTTCATTTGTACTATTTGCTGAATAGTATTGCTTTTCCTTTGACCATTATTAATATGGACTAATTAAATGATCTTTAAACAATGTCTAAAAATATTGTTAGCCTAACCCATTTGATGTCTTTTTAATCATTATATTTCCTTAAGTGCATAAGCACTATTATTTTCAAGTATTTTTAAATTTAAAAACACTAAACTGAAAACAAAAAAATTCAGAAGTTTCCATTTTAGGGGAAAAATAGATTAAAACAGTAGAAATAGGTATAATTCTTTTTATTCAGTTGAAATCTAGACACATAATTTTCTATAGTATGGAAACCCAGACTAGAATTAACTCCTGCCTCCAAAGACAGTAAGAGTATTTAAAGTGAGAAGGGCTGGTTGTGTCAGGACATATATACAATCCTACTGCTAGGAGGCACAGACAGGAGAATCCCTGGAGTTTGCTGGCCAGGTAGCCTGGCCTATATAGTGAAGTTCCATGCCAATGAGAGACCTGTCTCAAACAAAACGTGGTTGTTGATTAAGCAAGTCAGGCATGGTGGCACAAACCTTTAATCCCAGCATTTGGGAGGCAAAGATAGATGGATCTCCCTGAGTTTGAGACCAGCCTGGTCTACAGAGCGAGTTCCAGGTCAGGCTCCAAATGAAATCGATGATTCCATTAATTTTTTTTTTTTTGTTTAAATTCTTGCTAGTAGTTTATTTCTAGATTAAGTAAAAAACAAAAACAAAAACAAACCTAAAACCAAATTCTGATATTTCAATAGTTCTAGACACTATTTTAAAATAAAATATCAATCTCTGGCTGGAGAGATGGCTCAGAGATTAAGAGCACTGACTGCTCTTCCAAAGGTTCTGAGTTTAATTCCCAACAACCACATTGTGGCTCACAACCATTTATGCTGCCCTCTTGTGGTGTGCAAGCATACATGCAGGCAGTACACTATATACATAAAAATAAATATTTAAAAAAGCATGAAATATCAATCTCACATACTAATGTGCTTGGGAGACACGTTTTATATTAATTTATGCAGGTGTGGAGAAATGAAAATATGTAAATGGGGAGTAGTAAATTAAGCAAATGAAAACAATGATTTCATCCAAAATTAAAAGCAAGCATTAAAGCTGGGCAGTGGTGGTGCAAGCCTTTAGTCCCAGCACTTGGGAGGCAGAGGCAGGCGGATCTCTGTGAGTTCAAGGCCAGCCTGGTCTACAAGAGCTAGTTCCGGGACAGGCACTAAAACCATGGAGAAACCCTGTCTCGAAAAACCAAACCAACCAACCAAACAACAACAACAACAACAAAAATAATACACACACAAAAAAAAGATTCCAAAAAGCAAGCATTAAAAGGATATCCGAGAGCTACCCCAATTACTTAAACAAGAGGGATTCCCCCATTCCTAGTTCTTTTCTGGAATTTCTGAAATTTCTTTCTTTCTAAACTTTGATGTTGGTGAAGCATACCCAGCTGAAACAATCGCTAACTAAAGTCTCTTGATACTCGTTCCTTTTGGAGGCGGAAAGGTCACACATGCGCAGAAGAATCACTGGACTACAATTCCCAGAAGCGGTAGAGGACACAGCATGCCATTGGACTACAATTCCCAGTTCGAACGAAAGCTACGCATGCGCAGGACATTTTTCCCACGCACCTGGATCACCCTTAAAAACGGGGAATACCATTAACTCGCCCCCTTTCGTCTCTTCACCCCCTTCCCTCACCTGTCGTCACCTCCCCATTAAAGTTTACCTATGTGGGACCGCCCTGCACCTCGTGTTTCCTCTCCAACCCCGGAGAAAAGTAACAATACTGAGTCCCATTAACATATATTTTGGCAAATGATGATCTTACAATCTTGGTATAAAATAAATATTTTTCTGGAACAATTTAAAGTAAAATGGATCTCTTACAAGCTATAGGTATTTAATGGCATAATCTTTCTGGTAATTAAAAATAATCCAGAGGGCCGGGCGGTGGTGGCGCACGCCTGTAATCCCAGCACTCAGGAGGCAGAGGCAGGCAGATCTCTGTGAGTTCGAGACCAGCCTGGTCTACAAGAGCTAGTTCCAGGACAGGCTCCAAAACCANAAAAAACAAAAAACACCAAAACAAAACAAAAAAAAAACAAAAACAAACAAACAAAAAAACCCAGAGGAGGCCGGGTGGTTGGGAGGCAGAGGTAGGCGGATCTCTGTGAGTTCGAGGCCAGCCTGGTCTACAAGAGCTAGTTCCAGAACAGGAACCAAAACCTGTGGAGAAACTCTGTTTCGAAAATCCGAAAAAAAAAAAAAAAAAATCCAGAGGGCTCGGGGAAGAACACCTAGTGTAGTAAGGCAATGGGTTCCATTTCGGAACTGAAAAAGAGGAAAGGTTCTTTTCATGGGGTGAAAGGAGATTGAGATAGTGTCTCTCTGCGAAACAGTCCTGGCTGTCCTGGAAGTGCTTTGTAGACCAGGCTGGCCTTGAACTCACAGAGGTCTGCCTGCCTCTGCCTTCCAAGTGCTGGGATTAAAGGCATGCCTGGGTTTATAGAAGGGAAAGGTTCTTAACAATCATCTATTTTCTTGATAAAGAACAATGGCTTGGTTAAACTACCCCTAGACACTTTATACTAATGGTAATCTTGTTCACTCATCTATTTGCTTTGAAGGCCTGAGATGAGCTACTGATTCCACTTTTTGAGATGCAGATTCACATCAACTTCTTTTGAACCATCTCAGCGCATCTTGGCTCATCTTAAAGCCTTAAAGTACTTCAACAAAACTCCTAACGTAGTTATTAAAATAGCTTATCATGGTAGCACACATCTTTATTTCCAGCACTTGTGAGGCAGAAGCAGAATCTCTGAGTTCAAAGCCAGCTCCAGTCCAGTCTACACCAGTAAATTTCAGGGTAGCCAAGGCCACATAGTGAGACCCCCACCTTAAAAAAAAAAAAAAACACTCCAAGAAAAAGGACAACAAAACAAAATAAAAAAAAAAAAATCAAGCCAACCTCCATTTTATATACTGATAAGCCAATTTATGATCAAAGTAAGGAACTAACAAAATAGATCTGTGGATAAATCTTGTTTTCCTCCCCCCCTTTTTTTTAAATAAAGGAACCTATTTCTGTAAATAAATGACACTGAAATTTAGCTGTGTTCATTCCCCCCCATATGTCAAAGGCTGCTTTATTTTACATTAGATTAAGTAGGGATGGGGGTGGAGCCTCAGTAGTAGAGTACTTTCCCATCAAGCATGCTCTAGACTTGATCCTTATTCTCACTAAAATCAAGTAGTGTGACAGAGATCATACAGTAGGCAAGCTGAAGATAGCTGCTGTTCCTTCTATCTTTCCCTTCACAGAAAACATAAGTCAAATCTTTTCCAAATGCTAGGAGATTAGTATCATATTTAAACCTACTGCTTGGATACTCATCTATAGAATTGTTTTTAGAATAAACTCACTGAAAAAATACTATTTGAATGTTCTTGGCGAGTTTCTGAAGATATTTGTGTCTAATAGAATAACTTTATTCTTTTTTGGAATGATGGTCAGGCGGATCTCTGAGGGTTTCAGGACAGCCTGGTCTACAGAGTAGTTCCAGGACAGTCAGAGCTGTACAGAGGGTTTCTCTGTAGCTTTGCAGCCTGTCCTGGAACTAGCTCTTGTAGACCACGCTGGCCTCAGACAGATCCGCCTGCCTCTGCCTCCCGAGTGCTGGGATTAAAGGCATGCGCCACCACTGTCTGGCTATAAACAACTATTTTTATAGGTCAAACACAAACATTATCTAATGTTAAAGAAAAAGTATTTACATTTCTGATAAAAATGGAAAGTAGTTTTAGAATATAAAACTGTATTTTCTTCTCAATCAATTAGACTTTATGGTCATGAAGGACAATAAAAAGAGACTGATTCTGAGTTAAGACCAAAAGATGGAGTAAATAGAAACAACATCCCTAATTGCCAAGACATAGGTGGAAATACTGAGATTAGAAACCAGGTGGCCATTGTGTGGAGACCTGGAATCAATACTACTTTATAGAAATCAGGCCCTCAGCATTGGGGCACTCAATTGCTGTGGCAATAGGTGAGTTTTAGCCTTGATCACATGGCTTATAGCTTGAATTCTGTTTCATGGGAAAGTATTTTGAAGCATACAGTGAACTTGAAAAACCATGCAATAAACATGAAAACACGTGGTATCAGTTACACAGCAGGTTCAAATGAATCTTTAAAAGACAATTTGGATGAAAAATAATTCAAGACATTCAACACAGAATTTTTTGATGCACATAATTTAGAATTCTATTCTTTTATTTTTCTAAAGAATCAGCATTTTTTGTTTGTTTGTTTGTTTGTGTTTCCTTTCCTGAGATGGGAATATCTCTGAGTAGCAGTTCTGGCTGTCCTAGAACTTGCTTAGTAGACCAGGCTGGCCTTGAATTCATAGACCTCCACCTGCCTCTGCCTCCCAAGTACCGGAATTAAAGGTATGACACCACCATCCCGCTAAGAATTACCATGTTTTTAAAAGATTAATTAAATTATTTTATCCTTTGAGGGGATTAATCTAAAATAGTTTCCTTTGTTTGTTACCTAACAATCTAGCTGTTCTCTTATCTCAATTTTTTTCTTTTTTCTTTTGGTTTTTAGAGACAGGGTTTCATTGTTTAGCTCTGGTTGTTCTGGAACTCATTTTGTAGACCAGGCTGGTCTCGAATTCACAGGGATCCGCCTGCCTCTGCCTCCTGAGTACTAGGATTAAAGCATGCACCACCACCGCCTGGCAAAAAAAATTTTTTTTTTGATTTGGGAAAAAAAGCTAAATTTAGACCTGCAAAAATCAAGTGTCACTTGTTAATTTTTTGTAATTGAAGGCAAGTTCTGAATCATAACAAACAACTTTTCCAGTCTAGAAAACCTTTCTGAATCAGAAAATGTCTTCCTAAAATGTGGTACTGAAGACTGAATCTAGATCCTTATACATGCTACAGAAGTGCTCTACCATTGAGCTACAGCCCCAGCCTTCTTTCTACTTTGAAACAGGGTCTTATTAAGTTCCCTAAGCTGGCCTTGAAGTTGTTCTACTCCTGGCACAGCCTCTGGAACAGCTGAGATGACTGGCCTAAGACATTGGTCCCACCTAGAACAGGGCCTTTATAACTCAGTCTTGCTTTACAAGCTATGCTATCCATCCTTTCCTGTCCTACTCACTATCCAAGGCATACACTGTCATTCCAATGACTATGGACCTGGAAAAAAGACCAAGCTGAAGCTAATAGATCTCTGTAGAAAGTTTCTTCTTCTTCTTTTTTTGTTTTTTTGAGACAGGGTTTCTCTGTAGCTTTGGAGCCTGTCCTGGAGCTAGCTCTTGTAGACCAGGCTGGCCTTGAACTCACAGAGATCTGCCACCACTGCCCGGTAAAGTTTCTTCTTTTTATATGTGGCCATAGCAGAATTTGATGGACCAGATGGTAGTCAATAAAGGAAAATTTAAAAGGTTCCTTTTAACATTCCATTCACCCTTTCCTCCAAAATTTCATGAAAAATAATTAGGATAAGAGGGGTTATTACACATAAGACGAGCATGATTTACCATTGAAGCTGATCGACTGTTTGTAACAAGGCTTGATCCTCCATAGTTTGAATTCAGGTTTCCAATTGGTGCATTATGGGATGGTCCCAATAAACTGTGTATATCACTGTGACTAGTAGGCAGACTGGTAGAAGGTCCAACTGCATGGTTCCGCAGCACATGGATAGCATCATCCAGTCTGTCTAAACGATCCTCCATTCGAGACTGCTGTAAGGATCAAAAACAACATGGGGTAGGGTGGTTATTGTGGATATCGACTCAATTTACTAAGCGCCTACATCTCTTATTCAGGGATATAAAGAAGGCAGCAAATGCAATGTAGTATCAATTAGCTTTAAAGGCGACTACCTGCACTTTGAATCAACAACAAAACAGGCAGCTATCTTCAGACTAAATTTTCAAAAGTGCTGCTTCTTTTTTCAAAAGTCAACTGCTTTATAAGATGAATTTACCCATCTATCATGAGGTTATTTCTTTTAGTTTCTATAATAAATGAAGGCTATTAGACCAGTACTCAATTACAGTTGATGGAAAGGGATAAACTGTACTTTAACATGATCTCTGAAAGATGTCAATTTGGGGAAAGGCTCTCAAATCCATTTAAGTTTTAGGTGAGCAGAACACACCTATCTTCAATGGTGTACACATTCAGATACGCTCTTTAACAAAACTGAAGGAAAGACATCTACTGCCCATGGGTCACACGTGCCTTATATACAAACACAATTCTGAAAACCAAAAGCACATGCCAGTAGAGCTCTTAAAAGAAGTCATTCTTAACAGACACATCTACTTCTATCATTGCTACAAGAGCTGTAATGCTCATTTGTTTGATTTTTAAAAGACGCTGAAGTCTGTACAGCTTAATAATTTTAAATGGATAAGGGACGTATAAGTAATTTAAACACACAAAAAGGCACCATCTAAAAGAAATAGTACCTCACAGACATCCTTTAAGAAGGACATTGCATCTTGCAAATGCTCGTGAAGTTGCTGCTCAACTCGATTTTTCTGGCAAAGTCAAGACAGAACAGGAGGCAAAGCACAGGTTAAGATTAACTCCAAAAGAGATGAGGAAATAGCTGATGTGCTTGTTGGCATAACCTGTTAGTAAAGTTAATGTGGAGATCTGCAAGATCTACTTGTATTAAGCTCTGAAAGGCTGGGCTTTAACAGGGACTCACAAGGTTAGCATGTAACTAAGCACACACTGCTTGAGTTTGCTTGCAAAATATGTGAGAAGACAACTTTCCTCCAACTTGAAATATTTTGTTAGGCACAGAAAAAGAGGGCTTCTGATTGCAACCTAGAATTACTGAATGATTACATGACTTAGCATATCACCAGGATCACGCTCATTTATTTTTATTACACTTTGTGATTCTGGGTCACAGATAAGCACACAAACGTAACAGTAGAGAACATTCTACCACAAATTCTTCACCTTGGAGTACTAGTCCTATTTGTCTGGCAAGCAATGTTTTGCTTGTGTGGTATGTACTTTATTACAAGAAGATATCAGAAATGCTTTTATAATAAAAACTGACATATGTAAAAGTCTAATATAAATATAACACATGATTTTTAATCAATGGATTTGATTTCTTGTCCCTTTAAAAATAAATTTCATATTGACAGTATAGAAAAATTAAGTCTTACATTTTTCAAAAAAAAACAAAAATCCTTCAGTATTCTTTTAATTCCCTATGTCTATATAAAACAGATGACAATAAAGACACCTAAAGTGTCATATTATCTACTAAATCAGGTCATCTGTTAGCCAAGAATGTGTAACACTATCCTACTATTTCTTCACTGTTACATAAGATTTTAGGGGAAAAAAAAAAAAGCAAAATCACTACTAACAAAAAACCCCTCTGAACCATAAAGCAAAGTTCTATTAACACCTGTAAAGACAGCAGAAGGCTCTTACCAGGGAGTGAAGTGAGTTTTCATAGCTTGGGGATGAAGGAGCTTGCCCTCCAGCTCTGGGCCACTGACTAGTACCTGTTAAACCGAAAAAAGCATTCACATGTATGGATGAACTCAGTGTCTTAGTAATGTTAAGGAAAAGGTAAAGATATTCAGTAATAATAAACAAATAATGGAAAACTTGTTTATCATTCAGCATAATATTAGCAACTTACAAGCACAAAACATTGAAAAACTTTTTCATTATTAATTCCTGTAAAGCACAGCTAGCTAGCATTATGTTTGTATATTCTTTAGACTGTCTATACACATGTGCATCTTTGAAAATATTTAAAGTAAAATGGATCTCTTACAAGCTATAGGTATTTAATAGCATAATCTTTCTGGTAATTAAAAATAATCCAGAGGAGGCCGGGTGGTGGTGGCGCACGCCTTTAATCCCAACACTCGGGAGGCAGAGGCAGGCAGATCTCTGTGAGTTCGAGGCCAGCCTGGTTTAAAGAGCTAGTTCCAGAACAGCTAGAGCAACCCTGAGAAATCCTATCTTGAAAAACCAACCAGTGTGTGTGTGTGGGGGGAATCATTTCAACCATTTTGGTCCAATCTTCCTCTAAATTCCTGTGTGATCAGGCTGTGACAGGCGTTCTGAAATGTCTGAAGCCAGGACAGTCAGGAGGCACACAAATGCTTTGCAAAGTAGGCAGTTTCTGTGGTTCCTCAAGAGCTTAGTGTTGAGGGTGCAGAAGGATGCACTGCACCACTCACATGGGAAATCTGCACACAGAAGACTGTGCATGTATGTTGGGGACTGAACCCAGGGCCTCATACACGTTAGATAAATGTTCTACAACTCATTAAGCTATACTTCCCAGCCTTATATTTATAGTTTTTTGGATAGTAATATAAAGAAACCATGCAATGGGTCATCTTTACTCAATGGGTTAAGATGCTTGTTGTCAAGCCTCACAACTGGGTTTTATACCTGGAACCCACATAACAGAAGAAGAGAACTGACTCTTGCTAGTTGTCCTGACTTCCAGATGTATAAATTATGGAAGGTGTTCCCCTCCCACCACACTCATACAAAGAAACCACACAAAGATCTAAAATACCATCCATTTAACCATATATTAAAAAAAAGATGGGGAAAAGGCTAGGAGTGGAGGTTGGGAAAACTGTGATCGGGATGTAAAAAACAATAATAAAAAATAATTTTAAAAAAGACACATAGTTAAACTTACTTTGTTGTTGTTTTATTATTGATTGGTCTACCCACTGTTACAACACAAGGTTAAAGCAGAATATTAGAAGGATTAAATCAGTGATAGATATCTCTATGAACGTCACACAAATTAAATTCTGAGCTACATTTCATGGACAAGGGTCCTATGACTGTAATAGTCACCTAATATTTTATGTTGTTGGTCACAAAGGGGTGGATGGACAGTTACACAAGACAGAGCTAGCTCAGAAGTTAGCACCATCATCTGGTAAAGTTCAGAGTACAAGCATTTAGTGGAGGCTGGGAGTGTAGCTCAGTGGTACAATGTTTGCTTAGAATGTGTTAAGTCCTAGGTTTGATCCCTAGCATGTGGTATACACAAAAATAAAACAAGCAAAACAAACAAACAAACCAAAAAAACCCAGTTTTATTTTAATCTGCCTTATAAAAATGATCTTAAGAGAGATGAAAGCATGCCACCAAGCTAAATAAATGTATTTCTGATAATGGAACACTAATACCATTCCCTTCTGTGTATAGATTCTAATGTAATAAATAAAAACAAACAGTAAATATACCAAAATCTTGGCAGTCTTGGAGTACTGGTGTCTTATTAGCTATGGATGAGCCCTGAGTGGGGTGGGAATCAGATTCTAGACACAGACCATAACACTAGCTAGCATGCATCTGATACTAGATAGAGCTATAGCTTCATCTCTTCGTAAAATTAGCATGAGAAGAAAATACACAGGTTAAATTTAGAATCATATGATGTAATTCTGCATGTAATTACCAACTATTGCATGCAGGAGAATAGAGAAAAGGAACAGTGCAAAGGCTGAAGTCTTGGTGCGACTTAGAATAGACTGCTCTCCCTTCCCAGCCCATCACTTGTTGTTTGGGGCTGGACCTGCCCACAGGGAGAACATATACTTTGTGGGAAACAATTTCTTTAACTGTCCTGTGGTCTTTTTTTTTTTTTTAAAACCTAACTATCCACTCTAGAAATGTGGCTCTTAGTTTAGAAGAATTTTAGCAAATTTATTTAGTTGGGATTAAAGGTATGTACCACAATGCTTGGTTCCCAGTTATTTCTTATTCCAGACCTCCAGTAGTTTCTCTTTGTAACCTCACCCTAAACTCAAGCCTTCAGGAATCCTGCCCTCCACTGAAGTCCTAATCCTTACAGTTTGCCACAATATACCCCAGTCACCCTTTCCACACATGACTAGATGAGGAGGGCAGGCACTTTCTCATGTCCAGATTTGGGCTGCACTTCCTTTATACTCACAAAAGCTGCTCTCCTCCTATTAAAATCCTCTTCATAAAATCTGTGCCCTAACCTGATCACAACTCAGTGTCAATTCTGTGGTTTTATTTTCTCAACTCATCTGGAAATTTGATGAAGTCAGGCAAGCAATTTAATACTGGGCATGCTCCTAGATGACATACATGAATGTTTTGATTAAACTGACATAAACCTAAACTCATTTTTTACTGGGAGGTTCTGAGGGCTGCCATCAGGCCCTAAAATTACAGACTTTCCTCATCTATATCCCAAATGAAGGTAAAGAAAGTCAAGGAATGGCCAGGGGGTGGTGGTACATGCCTTTAATCTCAGTACTTGGGAGGCAGAGACAGGCAGATCTTTGTGAGTTTGAGGCTAGTCTGTTCTACAGAGTGAGTTCCAGGACATGCTCCAAAGCTACACAGAGACCCTGTCTTGAAAGACAAAACAAAACAAAACAAAACAGAACAAAACAAAACAAAAAAACGAAGAAGAAACAAAAAAGAAAGAAAGAAAGTCAAGGAATGGTTAGCTTGTCTGCTTCCCAGGCTTCCATATTGAACATATTCTAACATCTAACACAAATGTGTGCCACTTTCTAAACTATAGTAGGCATAGCCATTTCTCTTTCACCATGAGAGACTATATTCTATACCAACTTTAGCTAGATCCCAATAACTAAAATAAACATGGCAGGTCCACTTCAGATGCAGGTAACTGAGGTAGGCCTAGTGCTGGTCAATGAAAAATGAGGATAATTCTGTAAGGGAGACTTCTAGGAAAGATTTTTTTAAAGAGACATGGGGAAAAATGATCCTTTTTTCTTCTACTGGATACTGTTTGTAGTGTCTCAAATAGTTGCAAAGAACTGCTAGGAGGTAGAACAGGGATTCCGACATGCAGATTTACAGTTAGCTTGCATTGGGCCTCTTGTAACTTAAGAACAAATGCTCACACACCTTTAACCCCAGCACTTGGGAGAGAGAGGCAGACAGATCTCTGAGTTCAAGGCCATCTTGGTCAACACAGCCCAGTTCCAGACCAGCCACAGCTACATATATAGTAGCACTCTGTCTCCATGCCCCCACCCCCAATACTCTAAGAACAAATGGTTCTTTAATGTTCAAGCTAGGAGGGACCAGAGTTCCTTTTCCTTTCATCCTAGGCTTCTTAATAAGTACAATATCTTAGAATTATCTTCACAAGTGCTTGAGATAAAAATGCTACTGGTTTGGAAAGTTCTGGAGGAAGATGAGATCGATTTATCCAAGAATGACAGTCATAAAGCTGCCTGTGAGGATCTGTTGCCTGTGTGCTTATCCTGTGCTGAGTCAGACCAATGGTCAGGCATGAGGAACATGGCTAACTATGGATGACCCACTTATTCCAGATAACAGAACAAGGTCATATAAGGTACAAAGCAATCTGTACAAACAGTAGTTCTGGTTCGCTGTTTCCTTTATCACACAGTGCTTTTCCTTCTTTCCTCTCCATCTCTGTTCTGTCATAGTGTGGGGGTATTCATATATGCAAGGGAGGCAGAGACAACAAAGACAGGAGAAATGTGCGTTTCTAAATACACTTTACTTGGTGTTTCAGTAGCATTATGTGGAAATGAAGACTACTGAATTCAAGGAAGTCCCACTAAACATATATAATCAGTAGCCTACGTTTTGATCAGCTATCTGAGTTATAGGGAAAAGACTAGTCAAACCTCACTTAACAATGCAGGAGACTTCAGAGTTGACTTGTACCAGTCTAGATTTCACTCATGCCTTCCTAGGCGCTGAGCACCAGGCTCCTCTCACATGATTAGTAAGTGCAGTGAAAGCAGACATGGACACATCCAATGACAAAGAGCAAAAACAGGCTGTGGCAAAAATTATGCCAAAGATTTTGGTAAAACAGTGCCAAGATAATGAGCAAGGGTAAGTTACATCATTCTCCCTGTAATTTTAACTGTTAAACAACTCTAAGTCAATGGGTCTTTCATCATCTTGCTTATGTGGGCAACAGCTGCTTAACATTTACTAGACAGCTGAAGCCATGATCTCTGAAAAAGTGGCCTAGTCGGCTACTAGTGAAGAGCAGCTGCTGCAGCTCAACATGTCCATCTTGGAATGTGGCTGAGTAGATACACAGGACTAACAAAGCACAGGTGACAGACAAGAACCCTGACTTCGTGAAACCCTGCACAACACAACAATGCTTAGTGAAAACTACCACACTGTCTAAGTGTGGCTAGACGGGAAAGCAGAGACGCTGCTGAGGCTGTGGGGGGACGGGGAGATTTCATTCAGTTGTCTAATAATGGCTCTTCTTCAAAACAAACACATTTTTTTTGTCAGCAAGTACCTCCCCTCTAAATGTTGCTTAGCAAAAATATGGGTAAAGTTTAAACACTATTGCTATAAAAGTATTTTCATGACTTTACTTAATACTAATAAAAATTACCATTTATAATTATATTATCTCAACAAATTCATTCCAGAGGATAGTTTTAGAACTTGTCAAAATTAATGTTCAAAATCAGGAAATAGGAAAACAAACTGAACCATTTAGGCAGCTCCACTACTGCTGCTCATCCACAGCATAGTCTTTTTCTCGACAGAAAAACTATACAACTCCTGGTAAGTTTTCATTTAAAAATGTGTAATTATAACCTAGTAGTCTCAAAGAAGTTACATATATTACAATCAGCATTGGAAACCTAGGAAGAGTTTGCATAAATAATTCAAGATGAGCAATTATTTCAGTATTTCTTCAAAATGAACTCCAGGCAGTTTCTGATTAGATATTTATTGTCAAAATGATTTTCATAATTTAAATAGAACTTTACTGAAATTTTGTTGAATCACAATTATTTTCAAGTACACTTGTATGTGCTATGAATAAAAGAGAAACTCACCTGTGAGAGGTGAAGGGGATCCCACCGGTGTTGATGGGTTTGATGGAAAACTACTGCTTGTATGGTCAGGAGAATAAATCTAATCAGAAAAATAAGAGATACACATGAGTCAGATAACAGCAAAATAAATCCATCCATGGAGCTGTTTCTGTGATCTTGGTCACACTACTCACTCGAAGGCTCATAAGGAAAACACTTTCATCCAATTGTACACTATTTTCTCACTAGACACCAAAGTAGCTTCAGTTTTCAAATTAGGACAAAAAATATTACACAATTTCAAATGTGAGAGGAATAACAGAAATATATATTTCTTAATTATTGTTGTTGGAAAGTTCTAATTATCAGCAGAAAAATCAAGACATGAGTTTGGGTATGGGTGCACCTCTGCAATAATTGACAAGTTCAAGGTCAGCCTGGGCTAAACAGCAGTAATAGGCCAGGGAGACTAGTCCACACCTGTGACTAGTACAAGGCGCAGAGGTGAGACTGCAACTTTAAGGTCCCATATTTGAGCTGCATCTTTGTCTCAAAATAAAACAAGCTATTGTAAAGTTAAAACATCTGGAAAGTAAATAATCTTTAAAAAATATACCATTTAAGTAATATAAAAGTGATAATTCCACAAAAACAACTTAAAAAAATAAAAAGATAGAGTCTTTTAGGCTGTTTTGTTATTAGTGGTTTGAGTCAGAGTCTAGGTTGCATAATCAGGATCTCGACAGACCTTGTATTTGTGATCCTCCTGACTTGGCCTGCAAGGTCTGGAACTGCAGGTGTGTCACAGAAAGCTTGGTTACTATGCATTTAAAATGGTCTTTAAGTCAGGTGTGGTGGTGCACACCTTGAATCCCAGCACTCGGAGGCAGAGGCTGGTGGGTCTCTTGAGTTTGAGATCAGCCTGTTTACAGACAGAGTTTTAGAACAGTCAGGGCTACAAAGAGAAACTTTAAAAAAAAAAAAAAAGTTTTCCCTTCTAACTAAAGATTAACAGTTACCACTTACCCCTTTAAAAAGTTACTTATCTGTTTTAGTTCCAATGACTGCGTATTAAATTAAGCTTTCTCTAAAGGACACTAAACTTCTACAAACGTGTTTCAAGATCTTTATTACTGTGACTCATTGTTTATGTTCAGAAGTCAGTTATACACCTTTTATGAGCAACCAATGCTAACTTCATAAAGTATGTAATACAATATTGATGAGGGAGGGAAGAATGATTTCACCGATGCTGAACAGATAAGTCAGAAAATATTCACACAGCTGTATTCACAGATTAGTTTGCCTTGCTGAACACTACTCCTCGGCTGTGAGAACCAACTGTGAAAGCCCTGGAGAAACCTTACCTTCTGTAGTAGCTGGCAGCTCCCAGTTCTGTGCTGGTGCTCAAAGTGCTTCCAAGCTATCCATTTTCTGTCTCCTACTCTCAGTCCTTGCCTAGTCACTGCTGTGCTGACAAGAGATGAGGGATGGTAGAAATGGCAGAGCCTGTGCTTGGAATTCTCACCGGGGTGACTTTTGGGCTTCAGGTTTAGCTGAAGTTTACACCTCTTCTACTTTCCAGTTCCCTTAAAGGTTTCTGTAGAGTCCAAGTACCCTTTTCTTCTCTAGTCACCTGGTAATGACATTCTGTGTGCCATGTTTACACATCCTGGCGACTGACTCCTGAACTAACTTCTCCACCTGGACAGACTGAGTAGGACACACCTGAACTTTGAGTCACCACTTTTCTTCCTATCCTCCCCACCTTTTCCCTTCTTTTCCTCTATTTTGGTTTGTGTTCTCCGTTTTCTACAAAGGGGCCTGGCTCTTCCCTTTGTAGATACCAATATTTACAATTCCGTTTCTGGGATAGGTACATATCCTTCTCATACCACTTTAAACCTGTGCCTGCAACCTCAGGTGTTCTTCCTCACGAATTGTTCACCTTATTTTTCGACACAAGATCTCTCGTTGGCCTGGACCTCTGGCTGGCCAAGCCCTGGGGACCTATTTGTCTTCCCAGTTTTGAGACTTGTTTGTTTTTTTCCAAGACAGAGTTTCTCTGTGTTGACAGCCAGAGCTGTCCTGGGACTGGCTTTGTAAACCAGACTGGCCTCAAACTCACACAGAGATCTGCCTGCTTCTGCCTCCCAAGTGCTAGGATTAAAGGCATGTGCCATCACTGCCTGTTAAAAGAAGTAACTTTTTAAAGGCACGAACAACCACCACGTGGCTCCAGTGTTGGGATTATAATGAGTGATAAAAATCTGCTATAATACATATTAATAAGAAGATTATTTAAATGGTGAGATGTATCTTAGTATTTAAGTAATGAGGATCAGTAACAGAAGAAAGTGAAAGTTTGTTATAGAGGGAGCATGGCATAACTTTGAGAACAATTATGTGGTGAGGTTCTGTATGGTGAGAATTGGTGTTAATCTTCTAGGCTATATGTATCTCACACTTAGGTAGACATAGGCTTTCTCAGGTGTGAATGAACTGCCAAGTCTTTCAGCTCTGCGTTTTCAGTGAAGCAATCCCTAAGTTTGTCAAATGCTGGTGAGAGTCCCTTTAAGTCAAAGAAAACAGGCTATACTTTAAAGTCATATGATCATATGATATATGGAGTCATATGATATTGGAGGGAGAGGACATGGTTCTGATCCTATACTCAAAGCAACAGTGAGCTTTTGGGAATCATGGTGGAAATAGGAGAAACTATACTAAAATCTATCTTTTCCAAAAGAAGCTTTTCCATTCGTATAACAGAAGCCATTTTTTATTTTTTTACCATTTATTTACCCATTACACTTGCGGTTTGATGTGATATCAGACAGAATTGCTATTCATTCACTATCTACATTTAAAAACTGTGGGGTGGGGTGGGGTAGGGTGGGGTAGTTAAAGAGATGGCTTAGCACTGGCTGCTCTTCCAGAGGACCTGGGTTCAATTGCCAGCACCCATAGGACAGTCCACACCTGTCTGTAACTCTAATTCCAAGGATGCAATACCCTCATACAGACATACAGCAGGCAAACACCAATGCACAGAAAATAAAAAGTTATTCATGGGCATGGCAGATGAGATGGCTCAGTTTGCTCCCCAAGATCCACCTGGAAAGAGACCAGATTCCTGAAAGTTGTCCCCTGACCTCCATGCTTTTTTGTGTCCCCCAAACAAAACAAACAGTGTTTTACTCTCATATAGAGAACACCCCATAGGGAAGAAGACTAGTGCAGCACTACCAGATGGCAGATCAAATCACAACTTAATTAAACTATTTCATAAAAATCATTCTTTTTTAGAAATCCTAAACACCAGGATTTTCTGGCAATGAAAATTCTAAATGAAGATTTCTTTCTTTACCTTTCTGACCTTAAAGAATTCCAATACTGGTATTTAAAGAAGAAAAAAGTCATTTTAAAAATGGGGGTGGCAGTGACTTAAGAGTCTAGGGCAGAAACAAAGTCAGAGCTTATTCTACATGCAGCCCACAGGCACCTACTTAAATGGCCAATGATGAATAACTCCCAGTGCCTTCTGCCAGGCTTAAACGGTAATATTTCTCATTTTACTGCAACAAATGAGGCTCCTCCTCCTATCAGTCATGGTCCATTCCAATCAGTAGGGTGCCAATAAAGCCAGAGGCTAATGAAAAGAGCCTCAAACAAAAAGAAACAATGGGAGCTCCAGGCCCAACCCTGGAACTGAGAGTCCAAGGTTTTAAACACTGAAGCTTTTGCACATTTCAGTTAATCTTTATTATGCTAATGTTATTGAGTCTAAGGAACAAAGAAACTTATTTCATGAATTACTTCTAAACTGTCAACTTCCCTGGATTTTCTTTTCTTTTGTTAGAGACTACTGACCATTTAACTATCTAGATTAAAGCACACACATTTCTCCTTCTCTTCTTCCCTCCCTAGCTCATTGAAATCAAAACATAAATTATCACAAAGAAGCCTGATATAATCAACAAAGTTAAACAGTCCTCTCGTTTGATCTCTTCTAAATTAAAGACTGAATGTTTTGATATGGTATTAAGCACTGAGATAAACCAGATGTTTCTTCCTCCATATAACTCTCCATGGGCACAGTCTTAAAGGGTGATTGTCTGGCAAACGTTCAGGGACACACAGATTTTTCCTTTCCTTCTATCTACTCATGTGTATTATCTAAACTAGTGCACAATCCATAGGGCTTTGGGGACTTTGTGTAAATACCTTCATGTACAATTCTCTTTCTTGCTATCCTGAGATTAAGACCACAATTATCCAAGCTTAAACCTAAAATAAAGGAACCTTTGCAAATGCAATCTGGCCTTACATGTTTAATCACGCAGTATTCTGTGTGTTCTTTAATACCTAAACTGAAGAACAAAGATTGTACCCTCCGGTGTTTCACACATGAAAGACCTTCTAAGGCAATTGGGGAACTAGAATTAACTTCTAATGACAACAACAGTGTTTTCTCATGAAAAGTAGAAGCTATATCATATTAACGATACCATATTCTAGCCATCTGAAATATTTAACATAAAATTTTGATATGCATGTCAGGTTCTCAGATGTAATTCTCATTAAGTTTCATCCTCTTATCTGTCCTAATTCTTCAAATCACCAGACAACTGTTTTTGTTTTTTAGCACATTTTAAACACTAAACATTACTTATGAGAATGGGAGTCTACAAGGAAAACTGGAGAAACAATATTGTTTGGGGAGATAAAGGGAGTCTGAAGAAAGGGATAGGAAGCGTGCATGTGAGGGTCTGCAGTGATGGAGCAGATGGAATGCATCACTCTTAGCTATGACAGAAATGATTTATGGAATGACCTGGCTGTTCCTGCCTAGTAACAACACAGGACTGAGTTTCATTCAATCCAGAGTTGAGTTTCCATAGCAACTAAAGCCCACCCACTAGCTAGATTAAACATTTTTTCCCCCTGGCTTCCATTCTGAGTGAATTTGGATTTTTTTTCTCCAAATACCATCCTGGTTTGGCTAGTATGCTGTTCATAATATGGAAGGGAAATCAAGGATGTCAGGATAACTAAAGTAAGCTTGAAGGATCACTGAGAACATCACAAAGTCTTGTCTGCCCCTACAATGGTTTCTTTATACACATTTTCCTTAGAAAAACAAAACAAAACCTTATGAGAAAAAAAATGATTCCCAAATGGAGGTTTTATTTCTAAATTTTGCTTAATAGTAAGAGTCAAATGTAAATGTCCTTTTACAAATGAATAAACTATCTGTTACTAGTTCTTTTAAAATGAGGAACATGGCATTCTAATCAAATACCTGAGAGCAATTTTCTTCTATACAAGTTTTCTTCAGGGAATAAATTCAGAAAAAAAAAAGCAGGACAACTCCTTTTAATCATCCTCAACACTTCTAATACAGTCCCTATAGCACAGTCTCACAGATACACAGAGCAGTGGAAAGGAGCACTCTGAGGCTAGATAGAGGGGATTGTATTGCATATGAGCTCTACTCTTATTAGCTAGTGATCCCCAGGGCAAACTACTTCATCTTTTGAGCCCAATTCCTTAACCTTTAAACATTAGTTTCCCCATCTATAATAAGGGGGTAATAATGCCAGGGTGTTCCTGAGGATTAGGTGAAATAGGGCATGGAACTGGTTAGTGTAGTGCCGAGCAACTAGATAGCACTCAGACCACAGTTGATCATTTCCGTGGGTTTGTACCCCACCATTATTACATATGTTCCAAGATTAAATCCAACAAACATTAACTGGATTCCACTGTGTACAGGGTTTCATATGTGGTAGAAGAGTTTGACTTGGCTTCATTTCTTAAAAAACTCGGACTTACAGCTATAGAGAAAGGTTTATTTACTCAAACAATACATAAAGGAGTTTCTTTCTTCAAGAGCTCAACAGCTGCTCACATATCAGAGTTCTACTTTCCCTATCAACAGCAAATGTTTGAGAAAGTTCATTGTATTGCAGACAAAATATAAGACAACTCTGGAATTCTAAAAAGCATACTGCTTAAGACAAAAGGATGAGGAAAAAAAATACAAGTCTAAGGAGAAACTTCACAAGGCAGAAAACATAATTTGAAGCTGAATAAGTATATTTGACTCTTATAGATTATTAACAAACACCCTTCTCTCCTTTCTGGCTTTAGCATACCAAACTAATTTTAACATTTTAAGAGTCATACATATTAAATGGTGATCACTGTGGTCCCTAGTTTTTGAAGTGATCATGACAAGCTGTAACGTATTATAAAATCTCTTTTAATCCATTTTGTTCATTTTAGCACAAGTCTTTCAATGGTTCTGAGCCCACCCTCTGGTCTGAGTGAACCAGCTGTAGCTGACTGCTTTTTTCCACAAACAAACAAACAAACAAACAAACAAACAGTATTTTCCATCTTGTGAAAACCCTTATAAAGGCATTTCCTTCATATTAGATGAGTTGGATTTTCTTTCTTGGCTCTTCTTGATTTATTTAAATGGGTCACTTGAGTATTTACATATTTCCCCAAATTTCTTTGTTTTACCTGTATTTCTTCTACTCAAATAAAGATGTATTAAAATGAAACCACAAATACAGCTATTGTAGGTATGGAGTAGGTGGTGTTATCATAAGTTAATTTAATGGTATATACCAATATAAACAGAAAACAGTTCCTGGAACTAGGTCCTGTAGACCAGGCTGGCCTTGAACTCACAGAGATCCTCCTGCTTCTGTCTCTCCTCCTCCTGCTTCTGTGCTGGGATTAAAGGCGTGCACTACCACTGCCCGGCTCAGAAAATAGTTCTTAAATGCATAATTATGTTAAAAGTGTTGTGACTATGCCATTTACTGTCCACAAAATCTTAACCCTAGTTCATCAGTAGAATGTGTACCCAATACTTACAGAGGCCAAAGCCTTTCCAAGTGCATCACCCGTCTGTGAGCTTCCAGCAGCATTCCCTCTGGCTCCTGGATGATTTAAACAGGTAAACAAATCAAGAAGACTAGCAGGACTGTTACTTTTTCTTAAGCATGTACCTATTACTTCAAGGGTATCCTCCTGGCTTGTGATCTCACATGTCACAGTGAATCAGGAAACACTCTATGTGTTTTAATAAGCTATAAAAATAAAGATGAGTTCCTTATTGGTTTTTGGATTAGTGGAACTTAAAGGTTAATTATCTTCTTTCATTTTTATTTAAACTAACTACTAAAAATTTTATTGAACAATATGGGTTTCAATAAAACTCTCAAATTAGGATTAGGAAGCTACCCCAACCCAGAAGCTCACCTAGAATGCTATCTGATCCATTGATGGGAGGGGTATGGGAGGTGGCAACATATGGTGAGCTGCTGGTACTGCCACGGTGGAAGCTGGACATTGGCGGAAGACTCGTGTTTATGTCTGTAGGTGACACTGAATGTGGAGGATAACTCTAGAAAAGGGAGAAAGACATGATATAGTACATGTTTTCTGAAGGCTGGGGCTATTGCTTAGTAGTAGAGCACTTGCTTAGCATGCATGAAGGTTTTATTCCCCCCACCCCTGTGCTCTTGTACGCACGTGCGCTCTTTCGCGCGCTCTCTCTCTCTCTCTCTCTCTCTCTCTCTCTCTCTCTCTCTCTCACACACACACACACACACACACACAAATAAATAAATAAAAAATTAAAGCACACGTTTTCTAAACAGGAATATACACTTGACAACCTGTATAATAGGTTAAAATGAGTATGACATATGACAAATTAGTACTGTGTGACAGGGCACTCCCACTGAAAAAAGTTATGGTATAGTAAGCCTATAAATACTTCCAGGTACACAAGTTTTGGTTTAATTGTATTTTATACAAAAAGAGCTAAGAACAAAATGTTGTTTGATAGCCTACCAAGCGGTCATGTGAATGAAGGCTGCCATAACTACTGGACTGAGACATGTGGGAAGTTGAGGTTCCCAGAATTCCACTAAAACCAGGCTGGCTCATCCCGTTTGATGAACTCCAAAGGTCAGAAGAACTGTGGGTCCCATCTAAAATAAAAAGAAAAATAAAACAAAGTTTTCCCTAGCCAGAATTTTTTCTTTTGACAGTGTACAAAAAAATATAAAGGGTATAATGACGATTGAGTTCAACTGTCCAGTTACTACAATCTAGAATCATCCTGGAAAAAGTAATTCAGCGAGGGACTGTCTAGATCAGACTGGCTGAGGGCATGTCTGTAAGAGGTTTTCTTAACTGGGTTAACGAATGTGAATGGTACCATTTTGTTGTCTGTGCCCTGACCTATTTAAGGGTGAAAAAAGGTGAGTGTACATGCATTAGCTTTTCTCTGCTCTTGACTCTGATGTGTTTATCTGTGTAATTCCCACTGCCTTGACTTCCCTGCTATGATGGATCGTCACCCTCTCTAAGCTGCTTTTTGTCAGGGTGCTTTATCATAGCAACAGAGACAAGCAATGCCTGCAGATACCATTCCCCCTTCCAACCTAGTATTCTTTCAGGTTTTCTTCCCTCTTAGCCCCCATAATTACTATTTTTAAAAAAGAGATTTTTATAGTAAAATAAACAAACAAGAACAAAAACAGTATAAACTGTAATAAGTAGATTATTAAAACAATTCTCAAAAAACATATACTTCACACCAAAAAAGGTAATAAATAATTGAAGTCTGGGGGCAAGTTGGATTTAATTCTTGGCTAAATGTTCAACCCAAGGCCTTAACCCATAATAGGCAACATACATCATATCAGACATTCTGAAAATTTGAAAGGAAGACGTTTCTATCACAGCACGATGGGGTAAAAAGTGACATTATATAGTGAGGTTTCAAATGAGATGTCAGCAGTGACTTCATCTACAGCACAGTCGAGGAACCATTTATGTAGTGATGTACAGCTCCCACATATATATACCACAATACCAAACCACAGGAGACCAAATAAAAATGATTTGTCAGACAGGAATTAGAAGAAATGCAGCACCTCTTCTAACATGTCTCAGGCAGTTCTTTATATTTACTCTTTATGAGACTGTAATGCAAACCATAAACTACTACTCTTTCTAGCTTTCATATTTCAACATTCTCCTAACAAATTAAATCAGAATTAATTTCCTATGCTGCTGAGATTAGCCACATCTTCTCCTTCCTTCTGATTCACTGTACAGTCTATAAGTAGTCTTGTTTTAAGACAGAGAGCTTTGATCATTTTTCTGTTAGAAGTAGATGATCATTTCAAAGGTCTGTTGGATAATTTAATTAAATTACAATTAGCAATAAATGCCCCAGAATATTGTATGGCTAAATTTTAACTGATTTCATAAAAAAATACTTAGAAAAGTATGTCTGAATTTCTGTACAGCTATCTTTTTTCTCACATTTAATGCCAACACACTGACAATTCTGGCCGGCTCTCACAACTGCTAGTAGTGCTTACCTTGCATAAAGAAAGTGCTAGCGAACATACTGGTTGGTGGCTTGGGAGACGGATAACTAGGAGATTCACGGTTGAAATCGTCAGAATTTGGGGATGGTGCATATACCTTAAAACAATACAGGAGACTTAATTAAAATGTAAATGATTATATTATTTACATAAAATGAGTTCTATGTTTCACAAAGAACCTAAAAGACTCATCTACTAATCTCCATTAGTACATATCACAAAGATTGCTACACAGTTGACATCAAATTTGGTTACTAACTACATGTTGCTTTTTAGCTGGTTACTAGAAAATAAATTACTTCAGATATTCATGTATTTAATCTTGTTATAACAATTATAAGAAGTGGCTGAAAAAGGCCTAAGACACTCAGACAGAAAAATATAATTTTCTTAGCAGCATGTGTTTTGAAATCTGATGGGGCAAACAAATGTCTCTGAATATTAAGCAGCATACAAACTTTCCACTGTTGTAAACTATAGCAGTTTAGACAAAGAGAATAGATGAAATGATCCTGGTAAAAGGCATGCATGAAAGGACAGCAACTTCCTTAACTTAGGAAATTGAATCAAATTCTGCTGAGAGGTCTCAGTTCTTAAATTTCAGGTATACTTCCAAGTTTGACATCTCTTAAAGAAAAAGATTATTTGTTAGGGCAGTAATGCTTTCTTTTAGTGAACATTTGCTCTAGATAAGGAAATTATGAACATTTTAAAATGTCAAACGGCCAACATTCACAATCCTTGAGAAAACTAAATGGGCAGCCAAATAAACAGTGAATGAAATATGACCACAGTATTCTCAGAATTACTGAACTTTAGAAAACAAAACAAAACAAATAACAAATAAAGCTTTACATGAAGCATGGCATAGTGGCTAACGCCTGCACTCTAAGGAGGACGGATGGCTTCAAGTTCAACACCAACTTTGGCAAGAGTGAGACTGTCTTAACACCAACCCTGCCATCAAAATGTCTTAAAAGAAAACAAGACTACTTATAGACTGTACAGTGGTGAATCAAAAGGAAGGAGAAGATGTGGCTAATCTCAGTGGCATAGGAAATTAATTGTTTTAATTTGTTAGGAGTACATCCAGTAAGTTTCACTATAAATAAATTTCACTTAACTAGCAAAAGTTATGAAGATATATACAAACACACACACATTCTATATATAATCATTGAGATATTCTGGAATTATATAGAAAAAACTTTGTAACAGTTACATTTTACAAGTGGGGGAAGGGCTGAGCAGTGGTGGCGCACGCCTTTAATCCCAGTACTCAGGAGGCAGAGGCAGACGGATCTTTGTGAATTCGAGGTCAGCCTCTACAGGCTGACCAGGACAGGCTCCAAAGCCACAGAAAAACCCTATCTCAAACCCCCCCGCCCCAGCAAAAAAAAAAAAGTGGGGAAAAGGACTGTTAGTATATAACGTGGCATTTTTAACCCAAGCAAATGCTTTTAAACAGTGGTAAGAGAAAGAACATTCAAAGGACACAACTCACTGGCAGAATGAGCCAAGCAAACAAGACCCTGGGGGGTGGGGGGTGCTGGTTCTTACACCAAGGTTAAATGGGAGCAATTAAATTTTTTTACAAAAACTATTAATTATAAATTCACAAGCTATCAAAATTTACTCTTCCTAAAAGGTACTAACCATATAGAGTTCTCAATCTTCCTGAAGTTCAAATTTCTTATCTGTAAGGTAGCCTGATCCTGTACCTCACGGGGCAGATAAGATGAGGTATCAAATATTTAGCACAGTGCTTCTGATAGTGCAGGAAGTAGCGAGGAAGAATTAGCTAATGTATCATATTTCTACCATGACAACAGAAGAAATTACACTGTTTAGTATTGCCACTAGTCAGTTTTTGATGCTATTTGTCACATGTTTTGTGAGATATGACTCTATTTATACAAGCACAGCCCATTGTACATAAAGGTTAGAAAGTCCTTTTCATCTCTTCTTACTAGTCCTGCTAATACTAGCATACATGTGTATTTTCCTTTGAATTGGTTTTCATGTTTGTTTCCTGTCACCTCTTCAAAGTAAATTGTATACCTGTGCTATCTGAGATGTTTGGAAAAGCTATGTTCTTAGAAATTAACTAAAAGGTCCTGACAGGAAAGTGTGACACATACATGTATTAGCACACTTTTCTATTTTAAACCTATCTCATACAAGATTGCATTAGGGGGATGGAGGAAATGGTTCAACAGTCAAAGACACAGGCTGTTCTTGCAGAGGACCTAAGCTCTATCCCCAGCATCACATGGAGGTTCATAACCATTCATAATTCCAGTTCCAGGGGATCCCATACTCTCTTCTGGCCTCCAAGGGCAATAGGCAAGCAAGTGGTGTACAAATGTACATACAGCCAAAACACCCATACACATACAATAAAAAATTAACTTTATTAGTGTAAAAAAAAAAAGAGAAACACCATGGCATATTTAATTGTGTAATTGTGTTTGTGTCTTATAAGTTTTTTAGGAAAGGAATTTGATTATGTATTTTTTCTTAAATTTCCCTTTCCAAAGCCTGGCATGGTGGTTCACAAATGTCACCTCAAAACTCAGGAGGCTGAAGCAGGAGGACTCCCATAAATTCAAGGCTAGCCTCAGCAACGCAGCAAGTTCCAGAGTAGTTTAGGCTGCAGAGTGAGATCCTGTGTTAAATAAGTAAATAAACAAGGAAGCAAACAAAACCAACAAAGCTTCAGTTCCTAAGCTTAGCAAAACTGGGAGTCTTTTGCCTTTTTCTATACAGAATTCTCCAAAACAAGGGACACTATAAAAACAGAAAGTAGAGGAAGTTTCTAGCCTTTGCTAGGAAATACAAATCAGAATCAAATGTAGAAGATAGTATCAGAACATGTGCTTTTCATTACAAATCTATTCTTACTACACATACACTTTATCAGAAATAACTCTATAATTTATCCAATATATTCAAGTTATAGCCCAAAATATTTGAAACTCACACATGAGAATTATAAAAAAGTTCCAGTTTTGATGCATCATTTCATGCACCAAAAATACCTACATAATTTTTCATCTTAAATTTCAAAATAACTTCTTGATTTATAGCTGTCTTTGGTACCTTCAGTTCCTTGTATGCCAAATATGATGGACTTATGATTCAGAACTTTTTAGAAGTCTGCCGTATGACAAAAGTAAAGAGATATGTCTACTTTGATTCACAAAGTGCTGCTAAATAAAGAATGATGGCTATCACACAAAATGAGGAAACTAAGGTAAACAGAACAAATTAGAGGAAAACACATGCATACTCACTTGTACTTGAAGACTGAAGCTGAACAGGAAAATGAGGCCTCATGTTAGAGGCAAAGTTAGTTTTTAGAGATAATCTCTGTACAACATAGGTTTTGGGAATAAAAAGGACTTTTACAAGATAAAACAGGACATAGTGATGCATGCCTTTAATCCCAACACTGAATTCCAGGCCTGATTTACAGAACAAGTTCCAATATAGCCAGGGCTATACAGAGAAATCCTGTCTTAAAAAACTAGAGAACAAACAAACAAACAAACAAAAAACCCCAACAAAACAACCCCCTGAATACCATGAAAAAAAAAGACAGATTGTACAAATGAAGATGGCAAATAAAACCCTAAACAACTTTATTGTTTACACACTAGTACAACTTCAAATTTTCATCATAATAGAAATACTTTGCAGCCTGTGGCTCTCAGAGGACCCCTGGCACTGTTCTAACTTTGCTTTTGGTATCTCAGCCATGACCTGCAAAACATAGACGCAGAGCTATGGAATAGCAGTTGTGCCAGTCTCCAGTTCAGATCAAAGCACAACTGATGTGGTCAGGGAGTTTATTAGCTCCAGATGTGGGCAAACAGTCAGCCAGTTCCACAAAAAGAGCAAGTCTTTCCTTGTTACAATCAGTACTGGCCACAAATTAAAACCAGACCGCTTATGTCATCCGATCACCTGTACACAGATGCTAGTTTTTTTTTTAAATTCTAGTTAATTATATATTTAAATCTCAAGGATGATTCTGTAGCACAACGAACAATCTTAAAATTAAGAAAGTGGAGTAGTTATGATTTAAGATGATTACAATCTACTAGGAGTCAAACAATTTTAAGATATTAGAGAAAGGGACAACTAAGTATTTTAAGGTGTTCTATCTAATTTCTAGACAGGAATTCCAGCTTTGGTTTCAGAAAGTTAGGCACAGGCAGCTATTGCAGAGGTGCCATTTTGCTTTTTAAGGTGTTATGGCACATTTTTGGTATCTGCTGAACAGATAGATACTCTTAACTCAGAACACAAGTGAGTCAAAACCCACACTTCTTTTCCATCATCATTAAGTCTGGTTGAAGAGAACAAACTCTTACCAATATCTTGAATGTTCTCATCCCACTTACCCCAGCGTAGGTTTAAGAAAGACAGCACAGCACTGTCTCCAACAGTGACTATGCAGTTATGCTCAGGGTGCTTTAGTTCATGCACCCAACTGGAGTCAAGTTGTCAAAGACAGATTCCTCCCCACCTTGGATGATTCAGTTGAGACATAGGAATGACCTCCAAATTTGGGGGAGAACATTCTGGAGCTCTAGAGATTGGCAATGTGCACTACATCTCTTTTCAATGCACCCGTTTTGTAATTAATATTGGAAACAGCCCTGTACAACAAAGAAGCATAGAGAGTCTGGTTACTGAGAAAAGATGCAAAATAAATAAATAAAAAGTAAATCAGAAGCTTTAGCTAAAAAGAAAAATAGATCCATAGTCTGATGGTTGATATTTTTAATAGCTTAAATGACAAGGGGGGGGGGAGTGTTCTTTAGGATGTGTGACTTAATTTAAGGGCCCTTTCCCAGAATATGATAGACCTAAGATGGTAAGCAAATTCTATTCTATGTGCCATGCAATGCAGCAGCCATTATTCAGTGGTCACCTGAGATTGTAAATGGTATAAAGAAAAAATGGAATTTTGCATTTCATTTTCTTAAACTACCACATATGGTCCTTTATCCAGAAGTTCAGGCTATACAAAATACGTTGAAAGAAGAATTTTGAAATCTCACACACTCCAGGGCCTATGAAAAAGCA